GATGCACACTTAGTTGATGGCATGCCACTGGCCATACGGGAAAAGGTGGAGAGAGTCAAAGTCCGTTGCGGGGGGAATTTTGGGTTTACACAGGAAATGCTCGCGACGACACTGGATGGGCACGACATTTTACTGGGACGTGATTGGTTGCGACGGTATAACCCGCGAATTGACTGGACGACGGGTGGCTGCACTGTGCGAAGTAGCGGTAACTGGGTCGAACTACCTCGCTGGCAGTCGCCTGAGTCTTCAACGGTACACGTCAACGCCGTCACCATGAAACGGGTTGTCGCCGCTGGAGCTGACGTTACGCAGTAGACATTGCAGTGGTAGAAGAAGCAGAGCAACCAAGTGAATTCAAGAAACTGCTGGCAACGGTACCGCCCAAACTACAGGAACTGTTGAAACGATACCCGTGGATTTCTCCTGACGATTTACCGGAGGGACTGCCACCTCAGCGAGCACATGACCACCGAATAGAATTAGAACCAGGGGCACAACCAACCTTACAGCGCTAGTTCAGACTGACACGGCCCGAGCTCGACGAATTGAGGAAGCAGTTAGATTACCTGTTAGAGAAGAAATTCATCGGACCGAGTTCGTCACCGTTCGCCGCACCGATACTGTTCACGCCGAAAAAAGACGGAGGGCTTCGCATGTGCATCGATTACAGAGCGCTCAACAGGGTAACAGTCAAGTCGCGGTATCCCATTCCCCGCGCCGACGAACTGATAGACCAACTGCGAACAGCACGGGTTTTTTCAAAAATTGATTTACGAGGGGATTACGGTTACCATCATATTAGAGTCGAACCATCGGACTGCACCAAAACAGCTTTTCGGACTAGATACGGGTCATTCGAGTACACCGTAATGCCCTTCGGGCTGACCAACGCACCGGCGACTTTTCAGATGACCATGAACGAAGCGTTTAGGCCGCTTTTAGATAACTGCGTGATAGTTTACCTCGACGACATCCTCGTCTACAGTCGTGACAAGCAGCAGCACTTAGCCGATCTGGAAGCGGTATTTAAAATTTTAGACGAGCATCGGCTACTGACCAAGGGTTCCAAGTGCGAGTTTTTTCAGGACAGGCTAGAGTTTTGGGGGAACGTCATTTCGGAGGCTGGGGTCGAAATTGACCCGAAGAAGTTGGACACGGTAAAAGCTTGGCACCCCCCGACGAATATCAAGGAACTGCAAAGTTTTTTAGGGTTCGTCAATTACGTGCGTCGGTTCGTCCCCGACATGGCACGGTTAACTGTGCCGCTGACAGACTTGCTACGGAAGGGGGTCGCTTTTACGTGGGGGGAGAAAGAGCATGCTGCCTTCTCTGCCCTGAAAAATATTCTCTGTTCACCGCCCGTGCTACGCATCGCCGACCCACACCGCCCATTCGAAGTAGTTACAGACGCAAGCGACATCGCCATCGGAGCAGTACTGCTACAGGATTTCGGCAACGGCCTACAGCCCATCGCATACGAGTCACGAAAAGTGCATCCGCCCTAGAAAAATTACCCGATACACGACCGCGAAATGCTTGCGATCGTGCACGCATTCAAAGTGTGGCGCTGTTACTTGACCGGCACAGACGTGACAGTACGGACAGACCATAAATCACTACAGTACCTCCGCGCACAGCCACACCTCAACCCACGACAGATTCGCTGGGTCGATTTCCTCGAGTCAAACTTCCACTATACAGTTACCTACAAAAAAGGGGCATTGAACATCGCCGACGCACTGACCCGCCCCACTGCCCAGCTCCACGCAATACTACTTGCCCAGACCAGCCCACTACTGACAGGCCTACTTACCCACGGGTACCAAACGGATCCATTCATCACAGGAGGAAATTCGCAGCAGTTTGTAGCAGCAAAGGGAGTCTATTACGTAAAAGCCGGGACCGACCGCATCTGGGTACCAGGGTATACACTGCTACGGGAATTACTATTACAGGAAGCATACGACGGAGTTACCTCGGGGCATTTCGGGGTAGAAAAAACACGGCAGCAGCTGCAGGGGTATTATTACTGGCCCGAAATGTTGACCGACGTTCAACGACACGTGGCATCATGTCCCACTTGACAGATCATGAAGTCATCACGGAAGCGGCCGGCAGGACAGTTGCAGCCGATACCACCCCCAGAGCATGCTTGGCAGTAGGTGACGATGGACTTCGTCACGGGGTTACTGGCCGGAGCGAGTGGGAACGACGCGATCCTGGTCGTCGTCGATCGACTAACGAAAATGGCACACTTCGCAGCCTGCAAGAAATCAATCACAGCCGAAGAAACAGCTCGCCTATTCATCACCACCGTCGTTCGACTGCACGGGATACCAGCAGCGATCATCAGCGACGGAGACACGAAATTCACCAGCAACTTCTGGCGGAACCTGTGGCAGCAGTTCGGCACGCGACTACAGTTCAGTTCTTCGTACCACCCCAAAACCGACGGACAGACAGAAAGAACAAATCAGACCATGGGAGCAACTCATCCGAGCCACATGCGACGACCCAACCACCTAGGAACAACAGCTGCCACTCATCGAGTTCGCGTACAACAACTCGCCTTCCGCCACGACCCAACAGTCACCATTTTACATGAATTACGGACAAGACCCAACAGTACCCATGACCCCGAATCCCAACAACCCAGTGCCACGAGCACAACAGTTCGACGAAATATTACAAGCAGCACGGACCCGAGCGGTGGACGCAATTAAAAAATCGAACATCATCGCTAAACGCAACGCCGACCGCCACCGCCGACCTGTCACTTACCGCCCGACGACCTAGTCTTACTCGACACCCATAACCTCCGCCTACCCATTACTCCAAAACTCCGCCCTCGATATTGTGGGCCATTCCGCATCAGCCACATGATTACATCCGTCACCGCCCATCTCCTCCTCCCTGCTGACTGGTACGTCAGCCCGTCCTTCCACGTCAGCCTGCTCCGCCCCTACGTACCATCCACCAGCCAACTGCCCCGCAACCGCCCAGCCAGCATGACACGACCGCCGACCGAGCCAATCATCACACCCGAAGAGATTTTGAGCCACCGAGTTTGTGACCCACGAGGAGCTCAAAGGATCGAATTCCTGATCCGCTAGAGAGACCGTACACCCACCGAAGACAACTGGGTTCCCCTGGACAAAATCGACAACCACCCCGTCCTCACCGAGTATCTGCGCAGCCGAAATTTTCGGGATGTACACGCACTTTCATAAAAGAGGGCCTCCTTAAGGGGGGGGGGGTAGTGTAAGGAAAATTCCTTTTCCTTACTTCGCGTCCCTGCTCAGCGCGTACACCACTGTAGTACCACAGTCAGCACCGTTACCACCCGCAACCCTCGCATCGACAATCCTCCTGCCACCTTCGCACGTCGCACCCCGACCTTACGGCTCGGCCGGTAACCCGCGCTCCGGGCCTCCGCCTCGACATTTTCCCAACCTCAGTTCCAGGCCCGTCGCGCGTCAACCACAGTTCATTACCGTTACCACTGTAGATTCGCTATATATTCTTCGCTCATGCCTTCGCTCATTGTACTCTTGCTTCGATAGTGCAATTCTCGTTCGATCACTTAATTGCACTCGTAACAGTGGTTCACTTCGGAACTCGTCTGATGGCTGAAAAACGAAAAACACATACCGTAACTTATAACTTTCCAAAACAATGCAAAAAAACTTGAGTAATCAAGTTGGACCCAACTAGAACGAGGGGGTCACCATTTTAGCTACGGGCTTTAATAATGGTCGGAGATACACCGACAATGGAAGTTGACGATACGCTGAAATTAACATGGTAATGAACTTGAAGGTAACACGGCCTTGGGAATGCATGGCTGAGCCTGATGCTTGTTGCCTGATAACTGGAGAGACCGAGGTCAGCATAAATTACCAGACTTCCATTTCGAATGTTAAAGACGATACTGTTAAGAAGATCAGAACTCGGCGTGCATTGTAGCGAGGACGTTGACTTGTTCAAGCTCGTCAGAATCCATGGCCGCCAGATGGCGGAAAAGGCGGAGAGCATTGCAGGCAAGGCTTTCGTGGTGTGTGATGGACCCGATAGAGCTGTTACAATCCTCGCCGTGGTGTGATCCTTCAGAATCCGGTGTGTTTTATGGAGTGCTTGTAATGATGTATTGAGCCCATATGTAAGGCGTTTTTTCAGTTTTACACATCTGATTCCACCGCGTACAACACCGTTCATGGGCTAAACTTTTCTTTGCCAACATTCCATTCCTCTTCACTTCTCCACGAACCAAGCCACTCCAACGCGTTCCTCCTCACAACACTCCCATTTGTGCGGGGTGAACTTGGGTCCGAGGGGTGGGAACACCCCCAGACCATCCCATCCGAACCGAGCCAGGGTCCGGACGTCAGTATGGTTACGGGTTTCGCAAATGCTCGTGAGAGGACTGGCAGAATTTTGGCGATGTCGCCATCATCCGGACCTTAGATAGTGACATGACAATGAATGGGCCCTTACTGTGAGGTGTCTGACTTTTCCTCCAATAAATCCTTGTGACGCGATTCTTCATCCCAGTCGTTTTTGCTTTCGCACACAGCCAGGAAACGCCCAATCGAAGCCCACGATGGCGCCTAAAGCAACGCGTTCCCTGCAGCAGCTCCTGTCGCAGCGGTCGCACATGGCCAAGGCTTTGCCGCGCCCGTCGCGGGCTGCGTCCCGCCACAGAGGTCCCTCCAGCCTCGCACAGGAGCTCCGTGGAGCGGATGATGCGCCGCACGCTAGTAGGCTCGCTGCGATGAGCATTTAAGCATCCGTGCCCGATCGTTCTCGTCACCTCTTCTGCTTTACACCAGTTAGCACCAATCACTCCTCTAGCACCTCTTTCTCTCGGGTTGCTCCGCTGCACACTCCTGCTCTACTCCGATCGTTCTCGTCACCTCTTTCTCTCGGGTTGCTCCGCTGCACACTCCTGCTCCACTCCTGCTCTCGGATTGCTCGTGGCGATCAAGGTCGAAGAGCGAATGGCGTCCGCCGGAATCAGCAGCATGGGGAATGGCAAGGCCGTGCGTGCGCTGCTCGCCATCGTCGCCGTCATCGCCGGTACGCTCCGTCATTCGCTCCGCTCTCTCGCCCCGCGCTCTCATGCGCCATCGTGCTCACGCCGTCATGCGTTCAATGCACCACTCGACAGCGCGCACACGCGATGGATGCCCAACGAACTCGCTCCTTCGTCCGTGCCCCTCCCATGCCACATGCCGCTCCCTTGCAGCGTGTCTCCCCCAGCCGTCGCAAGCAGCAGCAGCAGCGAGCGTGTCGGTCCCAGTGCCGATAGGCACGCCGATGACAATCAACGGGCGCACATTCAAATTCTCGCCGCGCCGCTGTGTCAACCTTCCCGCCATGTCGCCGTCTCAGAAGGCGCGGGTGGTGGTGCCGTGGCAGCAGGCGAGCATGTCTGGCAAGGCTATGTGCCGCGCGATCTGGTTCTTCCAGGATCCCGCGTGCAAAGGACAGACGTTGGACGTTTTCGTGAATGGCCAACAGAGGTGCGCCTTCCATTCTTGCTCGCCTTGCTTCCATGCTCCTATGCTCTTGATGCCGCTCGTTTGCTCCCCCACCTGATCAACGATCGTTGCACTCGTGGCGCCCTCCCTCCCCCTGTGTGCAGTGAGAAGCGCATCTCCGGTGCAGCAAGGTCCGCCCTCTGCCTCGTAGGTGCGTGCGTCCCCTCTTGCCCTCTCTCGCGCCCGCCTCTCGCGAGAAGCCGCCCTCTCTCTCTCTCTCGCTGGCCTCGCGCTCTCACTGCACAGTCCAGTTCGCTGCGCTGCAGAGCGCACGACGCGAGTGGGTGGCAGGCTGCCGCGCCTCATCTCTGCATTCGCCTTCCCCCTTTCCCCCCTTCCCCGTTCCCCCTTTCCCCCGGTCCGCACGGCGCTGTGCGGCAGACAACATGTGTCGGTATGCGCGCTGCCCTGCCGGCTCTGACACATGCACCCCACCCACGGACGACCGCACGGCAGTGACGTGCGCGTGCAAGAAAGGCTACAGCGCGGTCAACAACAAATGCCAGCCTCCCAGTGAGCTTCGTATGGTTTCGCTCCGCTCAGCATGGTCTCGTTGCCGCAACTCTCTCCTCCTCCGCCCTCCCTCGCCTGCTCTGCTCTCTCTGAATGCTTCCTTGTCCGGATGGACCCATGTGCTCACCTGGCCTCCCTCTCTCTCTCCTTGCCTCTGCTGCAGAACCCTCGTGCCTCACTGCAGGCTGCCCTGCCAACTCCGAGTGTGCCAAACGCACCAGTGGCACTGGAATGGAGTGCAAGTGTAAGGCGGGCTACAATGCAGTCGGTGCCACCTGTGTGCCAGCAGCAAAACCTGGCACCACCACAACCCCGTCCGGCACCACCACAACCCCGTCCGGCACCACCACAACCCCGTCCGGCACCACCACAACCCCGTCCGGCACCACCACAACCCCGTCCGGCACCTCCACAACCCCGTCCGGCACCACCTCAACCCCGTCCGGCACCACCACAGCTTCGTCCACCACAACACCTTCAAGCGACGCTTCAGAATCTTCCAGCAACATTGCAGAATCTTCAAGCGACATTTCAGATTCTTCCAGCAACGTTTCAGGACCTTCCAACTACGTGTCAGAAATTCCTCCTAGCTACGTTTCAGACTCTTCCAGCAACGCGTCAGATTCTCCTATCTACACGTCAGAATCTCCCAACTAAACTCCAGAACCTTCCAGCGGTGGCAACTCCGTACCATCCTATTCCTCTACTTGCGCCAAGCCAAATCAGTCGCCACATCTGAGAAGAGTTGAGGGACGTATTGCGTAGGGACAGGGATTGGTTGCTGTTGCTGTGCTTCTCAGACAGGTTGGAGAGTTAGTTGGTGAACTGTTCTCGGGAAGGTCGTTGAGCAGGTGCCAGGCAGGATAGCTGGCAAGTTCTCAAGAAGAATAGAAGCAACCAATCTGGTATCATAGCAGCACTGCGTGTTATCAGACCCTCCCTGTCCGGGCTGGTTAGATTTCTCCTGTTCGCACCCCCACTTCTCCCCTTGTTTTCTCTTTCTAGGTTTGTTGTAATCTTTGTTTTACCCATCTAAATATTTGTTTCTGGATCTTGTTGCAATTCTACACATGTGGTTTCAAATCATAGAGATGACCCTGCTTTTGACCTTTGTTTCTGGTGGCTTCCATCAATTCACTCTAGTTTTCACTACTGTCAGCACCATCACTTAGGAGCGTGATCAGCCATTTTCAATTTGCTGTTCGTAGCTATACCAGATTATATCATTACACAACATTCTAACCTTGTTTGTATTTGAACCAATAAGCGATCTTGGCGATATTTTGGCGAAGTCACCATTAGTGGCTGCATGCAAGGGAATCACCAGCAATTGTTGTTGTCAGATTCTTGCGATAGAGACTGTCCATATCGGAGACATTCGATTGCCTCGCGTCGCGTCACTTGTGTTTGTGTGTCCCGCGCCCTCAGAACAGAACGCTTGTCTGGCATCACATCGGAATTATTGTTGTGAATGGGGTCTTTACAAGATCCGAAGTCAGCGGGAATGGGCCCTTCCGTCCTGGTGTCCACAATAATTTTGCCGAGCACGACCCTCGTTCCACTCCCCCATTTTTTAGCAAACATTGTGCTGACATTGAATGTGGATCCTAAGTGTTGCGGAGAGACCTAACATTTTCGACTTCAATAATTATGTCCAATAAATCCATTTCCATTTCTGTTTTCGCCAGCGTTGTCACCTTCGCACACACCTCAGGAAACGCTTATTCCAAGGCGCGCTGGCGACTAAAGAAACGCGTTCCCTGCAGCGACTCCTGTCGCAGCGGTCGCACATGGCCAAGGCCTTGCCGCGCCCGTCGGGAGCTGCTTCCCATCACAGAGGCCCCTCGTCGCGCAGAAGCTCCGTGGAGCGGATGATGCGCCGCACGCTAGTAGGCTCGCTGCGATGCCCATTTAAGCACCCGTGCCCGATCGGCCTCGTCACCTCTTCCGCTTTACCAATCACTAGTAGCACCAATCATTCATCTAGCACCTCTTCCCGTCGGAGTTGCTCCGCTGCACATCTGCTACTACTCGAGCTATTGGAATTACTCGTGTCGTTCAAGGGTGAAGCTTGAGCACCATCCGTCCACCGGAGAAGCGGCAGCATGGGGAATGGCAAGGCCGTGCGTGCGCTGCTCGCCATCGTCGCCGTCATCGCCGGTACGCTCCGTCATTCGCTCCGCTCTCTCTCGCCGTCGTCGTGCGTGCGTGCTCCCATGCGCATCATCGAGTCCACGCCGCAATGCGTTCAGTTCCATGCTCTCATGCGCCACGGACCACACCACAGTGCTCTCATGCGCACGCAATGCATTTCCAATGAACACGCCCATGCCTCCGTGACCCTCCCATGCCACGTGTCCCTCCCTCTCTTGCAGCGTGTCTCCCGCAGCCGTCGCTCGCAGCGGAAATCCCATCGGCCCCAGCGAGGATTGCCACGCAGATGACTATCAACGGCCGTCCTTTTAGCTTCGAGTCGCGCCGCTGTGTCAACATCCCCGCCATGCCGGGTGCAGTCAAGGCTCGCGTGGAAGTCTCTCGACAGCAGGGAAGCGATGCTGGCAACGCTGCTACGTGCCGCGCAATCCGGTTCTTCCAGGATCCCGCGTGCACAGGCCAGACGCTGGACCTTCTCCCCATCATCGGCACACAGAGGTGCGCCTTTTATCCCTGCTCGCATTGCTTCCATGCTTTGAACGCCGTTCGGTTGTTCCCCACCAGACGCTGGACCTTCTCCCCATCATGGGCGCACAGAGGTGCGCGGCACGCCTTCTATTCGTGCTCGCCTTGCTTCCATGCTCGCCTTGCTCCCATGCTCGCCTTGCTCCCATGCTCGCCTTGCTCCCATGCTCGCCTTGCTCCCATGCTCGCCTTGCTCCCATGCTCGCCTTGCTCCCATGCTCGCCTTGCTCCCATGCTCGCCTTGCTCCCATGCTCGCCTTGCTCCCATGCTCGCCTTGCTCTTAACGCCGCTCGGTTGCTCCCCCACCTGACCAACGACCCGCGCACTCGTGGCGCCCTCCCTCCCCCTGTGTGCAGTGTCAAGTATGTTCCCGGTGTAGTGACGTCCGCCCTCTGCCTCACTGGTGCGTCCCCTCTTGCCTTGCCCCTCCTCCATTCCGCTCACCGCAAACTCCTCTTCCTCTCTATCGCACTCTCTCCTCTCTCTCTCTCTCTCTCTCTCTCTCTCTCTCTCTCTCTCTCTCTCTCTCTCTCTCTCTCTGTATATATATATATATATCTATCTCTATCTCTATCTCTATCTCTATCTCTCACTCTCACCCTCACCCTCACTGAACGCTACCCTGACTGGATGGACCCACGAGCTCACCTGCCCTCTCTCCCTCTCTCTCGCCCTGCCTGTGCTGCAGAAACCTCACCACCTGCCACCGGCACCACCGGCACCACAGCACCTTCCGGCAACATTCTGGAATCCGCCAACTCCGTTTCAGAGTCTGCCCGGGCCATGCTGGAATCCACCCTTGGCGTTACAGATCCTGGTACCGGCACCGCCATTTCAGGGGTTTCTAATGCCTCTATCGATCCTAGTACCGGTAACAACACTGGCGAAGGACCTGCCGCCACTGACGCTGCAGTTCCTGTGGTCTTCACTCCAGGCACTTTCACCAACGATGCAGTGAATCCCACCAAATCCCCCGAACCTTCCGTGAACGCGTATGACACTTACACTACTGCTGCCACCGTGCCGGGCTACTGAGCTGAGCTGAGCCAACGGAGGTAGGAATGAGGTGTGCAAAGTGATCGCCACAGCGCAGAATAAATGAGGGATATACCACCGTATTGTGTAGTTCGCGAAGGTACAGTCCTTCCTTGGTGGCTGAGCAGAGTGCGATATATTCTGCTTCAGCTGAAGAGAGGGCGATTAATTCCTGTTTGCTTGACTGCCAGGAGATAGGACCGATAGGCTCGAAGCGGTAGATGTAGCCGGTGCGGGAGCGCCTGTTGTCGGAGTCGCCGGCGTGATCGGCGTCGACGTACCCGATTAGCTTAGGCGTTATAGTTGTGTTCTTATGGTAGGTCAGGCCGATTGTCGGGGTGCTAACGAGGTAGTGAAGAGCGCGGTCGAGCTCCGCCAGATGTTCCGCTTCGGGTTTCTTGAGGTAGGTGGCGAGCTGGCTTACATAGTACGATAGGTCCGGGCGGCAGGTGACAGCTGCGAAGAGGAGGCATCCCAGTTTCCTCTGGTAGTCGCGTATGCCGGCGGGGTTGAGTAGAGCGGAGCTTTCCTTGTGGTTTCCTGCCGTGTAGCGGTATGGCGTGGAGATGACGGTCGGTGTGAGTGCGAAGCGCTTGGCGATGGTATCGGCGTATTTCCCGGCGCTGAGGTAGATCGCATCCTCCTCTTCCCGTATGTTGAGCCCGAGATATTGCGTGACGGTAGATGAGACTGTGAGTGTAAGGTCTTGCTGCAGCTCCCCTTCGAACCAGGTAGTGACGCTGTCGGTTGAGCCGATGTAGAGCAAATCATCTACGTAAACGATTAGCAAGATGTAGTCGGTGCCCTTTGTGAGCCGGTACATGCCTTGGTCGTGAGGTAGTTGGCGGAATCCGATCCGAATGAGTCTTGCGTGCAGGTACTCCTGCCACAGCCTCGGGGCTTGTTTGATGCCATAGAGCGACTTCAGCAGCTCACAGACTTGATTAGGCTCTCCGTTGGAGCCGTGCGGTAGCTCGACGAAGATTTCTGCATCGACGGGTGTGTAGAGGAATGTGTTGGCGACGTCAATTTGCCGCAGCGTCCTTTTCTTCATGGCGGCGATCGCGACGAGAATTCGCAGCGAGGTGTGTCGGCTGACTGGAGCGAATGTCTCGGTGAAATCGCGTCCATGTTCCTGGTCGAAGCCGCGTACAACCCAGCGTGCTTTGAACTTGTCGATGGTGCCGTCAGCCCTTGTCTTCACGCGGAAGACCCACTTTCCGGTGAGAATCGTCTTGTTCCGTGCTACGCCGATAGGAACAACCTTCCAGGTGTTGCGTTCCTCCAGTGCTTTTAGCTCCTTGTCCATGGCTTCGCGCCATTTTTCCTTATGCTCCCCCCCCAGAGCCTGCTGAACTGTCGCAGGCTCCTTAGGAAGCACAGCGCCGTGGACCGCGGTGACCAGGCCAAGTATCTGGAGGCCACTCTGTGTGTAGCGGGGAAGTGATGTGTCCTCGGGATAAACTGATTCGTCTCCCGCTTCTGGTGTAGGGTTGAAGTTTGGTCCTACACGTTCTGCTTCGTTGGTGTTGACTTGTGCAGGTGTAACGTAACCGTTGTCGGCGAAGTGGTAATAGGTTTCGGCGTTCATGCTTTCGCGTGGATTTTCGTCATCCATTGGCACGTCGACGGAGCAGTAGGGGAGGGGTCCGGCTTCTTCCGAGGCTCCTTCCACGTTCTACTTGTCCCAATCAGCTTCGTCGTCTGCCGAGGCGAAGGCTCGGGTGCCAAGAAAACCATCGGAGCGATCGGGGTTTCCTTCTTGCAAGTTGGCGAGGTAATACCGGAGGGTGAGGTTTTCGTAGAAGATGACTGGTAGGTTGTAGTGGGGTACACACTGTAGAGTACAACCCCTTAGGGTTTTCCTTCTTGTATCATTCTCATCTTAGTTAAAATCATCCTTGCCTTAGTCTCGACATGGTATCTAGAGCAGGAGGTCTCTAGGACCTAAGAATAGGGCCCACCCGTAACTGTGTTTACTTCACCTACTGCCTGCCTGCCTTGCCTGCTGCTCGCAGCGCGCCTCGGCTGCTCGCGCGCGCGCGTCATTTTTTTTTTTTTTTTCGCGCGCACCTCGGCTGCTCGCAGCGCGCGTCACTTTTTTCGCGCGCGCCACTACTGCAGCGCCGCGCGCCGGCCCGCGTCGCCCGCGCAGCCCGCGTCGAGCCCGCGCAGCCCGCCGCCGCGCACAGCCCGCCGTCGCGTGCAGCCCGCCGTCGCCCCGCGCGCCGCGTCTGTCGCCAGAGTTCTGATAACACGGCAGCAGTTGCAGCGGTATTATTACTGGCCCGAAATGTTGACCGGCGTTCAACGATACGTGGCATCATGTCCCACTTGCCAGATCATAAAGTCATCACGGAAGCGGCCGGCAGGACAGTTGCTGCCGATACCACCCCCAGAGCGTGCTTGGCAGCAGGTGACGATGGACTTCGTCACGGGGTTATCGGCCGGAGCGAGTGGGAACGACGCGATCCTGGTCGTCGTCGATCGACTAACGAAAATGGCACACTTCGCAGCCTACAAGAAATCAATCACAGCCGAAGAAACAGCTCGCCTATTCATCACCACCGTCGTTCGACTGCACGGGATACCAGCAGCGATCATCAGCGACGGAGACACGAAATTCACCAGCAACTTCTGGCGGAACCTGTGGCAGCAGTTCGGCACGCGAATACAGTTCAGTTCTTCGTACCACCCCAAAACCGACGGACAGACAGAAAGAACAAATCAGACCATGGGAGCAACTCATCCGAGCCACATGCGACGACCCAACCACCTAGGAACAACAGCTGCCACTCATCGAGGCTTCGATTGGGCGTTTCCTGGCTGTGTGCGAAAGCAAAAACGACTGGGATGAAGAATCGCGTCACAAGGATTTATTGGAGGAAAAGTCAGACACCTCACAGTAAGGGCCCATTCATTGTCATGTCACTATCTAAGGTCCGGATGATGGCGACATCGCCCAAAATTCTGCCAGTCCTCTCACGAGCATTTGCGAAACCCGTAACCATACTGACGTCCGGACCCTGGCTCGGTTCGGATGGAATGGTCTGGGGGTGTTCCCAACCCTCGGACCCAAGTTCACCCCGCACAAATGGGAGTGTTGTGAGGAGGAACGCGTTGGAGTGGCTTGGT